GCCTATGACTATTGGTACTACCCTTGCTTGCTTTTGCCACAGTCTTTCTATTTCTATTTGTAGGTCTTTGTATTTTGTTATCTTCTCCAGTTCTTTCTCTTCTATTCTGCTATCTCAAGGCACTGCCACATCCACTATCCAGACTTTTTTGTCTTTCTTATCGACAATTGTTAAGTCTGGGGTGTTATGTTGCAGGTGCTTGTCTGTTTGAATTCTGAAGTCCCAGAGCAGTTTAATTTTATCATTTTCTATGACTTTCTCTATTTTATGATCCCACCAGTTTTTGTATTATTATTATTATTATTATCGATCATCGCACAGTCAGCCAGATGTTCAGACTGGATTTGGCATTTTGTCTACCTATCGAGTCCTTACCCAGGACCTGGGATAGGCAGATGTGGATGTTTGATGGTATTACAGATATCGTCGCAGGATGGAAGCAGTTCCTAATAAGGCCGCCTTTTGCAATTGACTAATAGCGAATTTGTCAATGCCAATGGTGTTCAAGTGGTGCTCCAGTTGTTTTGGGATTGCACCCAAGGAGCCTATGACTATTGGTACTACCCTTGCTTGCTTTTGCCACAGTCTTTCTATTTCTATTTGTAGGTCTTTGTATTTTGTTATCTTCTCCAGTTCTTTCTCGTCTATTCTGCTGTCTCCAGGCACTGCCACGTCCACTATCCAGACTTTTTTGTCTTTCTTATCGACAATTGTTAAGTCTGGGGTGTTATGTTGCAGGTGCTTGTCTGTTTGAATTCTGAAGTCCCAGAGCAGTTTAATTTTATCATTTTCTATGACTTTCTCTATTTTATGATCCCACCAGTTTTTGCTTACAGGCAAATGATATTTTTTGCAGATCTTCCAATGCACCATTGTTGCTACTTTGTCATGCCGCTGCTTGTAATCAGTCTGTGCAATCTTCTTGCAACAGCTTACCAAGTGGTCCACTGTTTCTTCAGCTTCTTTGCATAGGCGGCACTTACTGTCTGTTGCTGTCTTCTCAATTTTGACTTTGTATGCATTTGTCCTTAAGGCTTGGTCTTGTGCAGCCAGAATTAGTCCCTCGGTCTCTTTCTTCAATTTTCCTGCTCTTAGCCATTGCCAGGTTTTATTATTATCTGCTTTCCCAGCTATTTTTTTAATGTATTGGCCATGTAGTGCTTTGTCTTCCCATGCCTCTATTCTGTTCTTCATTTGGTCTTTCTTGTAGGCCAGTTTGGTCTCTCCAGTAGTTAGTAAGCCTTCCTGATATACTAATTTCAGTGCATCTTCATCATTGTTCTTCAGATATTCTTCCAAAGCCATTTTTTCTTCTTCAACCATCTGATGTACTTGTAGCATTCCACGCCCACCTATTTGCCTTGGTAGATAAAGTCTATCAATGTCACTGCGTGGATGAAGGGCATGATTCATTGTCATTATTTTTCTGGTCTGCCTATCCATTGCTTTTAGTTCTGCTTGAGTCCAGTCCACTATTCCAGCTGTGTACCTAATGACTGGGATTGCCCAGGTGTTGATTGCCTTTATGGTATTTCCTCCATTGAGTTTGGACTTTAAGATCTTCTTCACTCTCTTGATGTATTCACCTCTAATCTTTTTCTTGACTTCAGTGTGCTTGATGTTGTCAGCTTGAAGGATACCCAAGTATTTGTAGTACTCTTCCTCATCCAGACTCTTAATGTTATTTTCGTGGGGCATCTTGATTCCTTCAGTTTTCACTATTTTTCCTTGTTTGATAGTAAGTGTGGCACATTTGTCCAAGCCAAACTCCATTACAATATCTTGGCTATATATACGGACAGTGTTGAGCAGCGATTCTATTTCAGATGATGTTTTTCCATACAGCTTCAGATCATCCATATAAAGGAGGTGGGATAGTCTAGCAGATGTTTTTGATGTTTGATAGCCATGTCCTGAGTTATTCAGTATTGTTGACAGAGGAAACAGTGCAATAACAAATAGTAATGGTGATAATGAATCTCCTTGAAATATTCCTCTCGTGATATTAACCTCTCCCAGCTTCTCACCATTGATCTGCAACTGTGTCTTCCATTGTGCCATCGATCTTTGCACAAATTTTCTGATGTTTCTACTGACTCCTGTTATTTCTAGGCACTGTATTATCCAATCATGTGGCAGAGAGTCAAATGCCTTTTTGTAGTCAATCCATGCCACATTCAGGTTGGTCTTCCTTCTCTTGCAGTTTTCCAAGATCATTTTGTCTATTAGGAGTTGATCTTTTGTTCCTCTGCTATTGGGGCGGTTTCCTTTCTGCTCAGGTGGAAAGAGATTGTTTTCAACTAGATGCTGTTGCACTGCATCAGCTACTACACCAGTTAGTAATTTGAAAGTTGTTGGTAAGCAGGTAATTGGCCTGTAGTTACCTGGTGTTATTATTATTATTATTATTATTATTATTATTATTATTATTATTATTATTATGTGGGAAACAGTAGAGCAAAGCCAGAACCGAAATTCTCATGCCAAAATCTCCAAGTGTAACTGCCCCACCCCACCCCACACCCCTGTGGCACTTTCCCCCTGCTGGTTTCCCATTGTCCAACTATATTCAAATGTGGTGTTTTGGGAACGGCCCCCCCAACTCTGGCCTGGCCAGCAGGCCATCCTGAGCCATTTGACTTTGACATTGTGTCTCCAGAAGGTATGGTGAATATTGAACCTTCCCCCCTCTCATTCAGCTTCCTCCCCCCCCCCCAAAGAGTTCATGGCAGACTGGCATCAAGCAATACCAAGCCCAGGCATGAGATGCCAGTTCTGATAGTAATATACAGTAGTGGCCAAAATTGTGGAAACCTTTTGGGAAAAGTATACAGTAGAAATGCCACCTTTGGTTAAGTTTTCACCCATTTTCCTTCTCATTTCTTTATAACTGTAGCCTTCTTCACTTCATAATCCTATTTTACATCGCTTTCTGGGTGACCAGTCAACTCTTTGCACCATTACTTTAATTTTATGACATTTTACAAGCTCACTCAATGAAAGAACACACAAAAAACCCCAGCGAACTTGACAGTGATCAAATCTCACACTGACAAATGTCCTCCTCTCAGCTTCAATAAATGACATCAATAACTGGATCCTAGTGTGATCTGATTGGCTCATGGCCAAAACAAGATGGCACCTGATTGGCTTTCTAAACACACACGCTCATTGGCTACCATCAGATGAAGGAAAGCTACCTGAGATCAACCTAAGCAAAGTTGTGCTTCCTTTTTCTGGTTATTTGGCTGTAACTTTTCATAGAATACAGTACAGATAATTGAGCAAACTACGTTGCCTTACAGTCTTGATTAAATGATCTTTCCATTGATATATAATTTTATGGTGCTACTCCCCCCAGAAAAGTGGTGTGATTAGCCATCAAACCTCAAAAATACACTTTTCCCAAATGGTTTCCACAATTTTGGCCACTACTGTAGTTTGCAATAGTGGTGAATATCTGTGGCTCGGGTGTGGGATGAGGGTGAAGGTTCATTCTCTGAGCTTGTGGGTTGGTTTCTTAATATTTTGTTAGCAGGCTAGGTAATTTCTTCAGCAGAGTTTAGGGCAGAGGTTCCCAACCTTTGGGGCACTAGGGACCGGTTCCATGGAGAAAGTTTTTTCCACAGACAGGAGGGTGCGTGGTTTTGTGTGCTGCCTGCATCCCACGGATGGGGCTTTGCTTGTTTGTGTGGACCGGTTGCTGGCATGCTGCGGCCTAGACTGGGGGTTGGGGACCCCTGGTTTAGGGGATGTCAGTGTCAGTTTTTATAAGGGCTTGAGGTGTGGATGTGTCACATGAGGATCTTGTGATGCATCTTATGGGGATGTTACATCAGATTAAGGCAGTGGTTCTCAACCTGTGGGTTGGGACCCCATTTGGGGTCGAACGACCATTTCACGGGGATCGCCAAATAACGCAGTCTGCCATTTTTTCCCCCTTTTCCTTAGCTGTGCTACTCCCTTTTATTCTATTGGCTTTTGAAAGCCAATAGAATAGACTCTCTTGAATAGAGTCTAATTCTATTGGCTTTCAAAAGCCAATAGGAATTGTCCAGGCTGTCTCTGCCCTGCTGAGCCCACCAAAAGTCCCAGTCTGCAAACGGTGCTGCACCAGTTGAGTAGTCTTCGACTTACGACTGGTTGAGTAGTCCTTGACTTACGACCGGTTGGGGGTCGCGGCATTAAAAAGATTGGGAACCACTGGATTAAGGTCATTGGGAGGTGAATTGCTGGTGGGGGGGCTTGCGTGGGTTGGTTAAGGGTCAGTGCCATCTCTTTTTGGCTATTTGGATTCTGAGAGGTTTTTAGGCTGGTTGTAATCTCTACCCACACTGACAACAAACAACACCAGTTCGACTGGGGCAACACTAAAATCATCAGCCACGCTACCACCCGCCACGCTTGCGAGTTCATTGAAGCTTGGCACTCCACAAGCAAGTCCATCAACAGACACATTGTCCTACAACCAGCCTCAGTGATATAGTTGATGTAAGTAAATGCACCTAGTAATGTTAAAGGTTTACGATCTTGTGGGGACACATTACTAGCTGTCCAGGGCTGCAGGTTGGACACACCTGGGCTAAATCATCCCATATTCATCCGAAGAAATCGGAAGTAATTCATTTAGTTTGGAACATATTTTCCTATCAGAGAAACGATGACAAAGAATCCGGATGGGATGCCCAAAGTTAGTTCCTGCTTTGCCTGGCTTTTAGGCAAATGTGCCAAAAAAACCAAACATTTAGGCAAATCTTCAAAATAGCATTTACATGTCTGATGTGACAACGAGTAGATGACATAAGGCATCTGACCTATCTTTTTGGCCATGGGATAGTCCCAAAGTCAATGCAAGCAAGCTGAAGAAGAATTTGGTAGAAGACCTCCAAGCTCTCTTGGAACTTGCCTGCTCCATTATTTGTCTGAAATATATAGATTTTTTTTTTCAATTAGACATCAGTTTTCTTGGACAATAAGTTTGCACCACAAAAGGCCACAACATGGGGAGCAGAATCAGTTCTGAGTCTAAAGAATTGATGAAGCGATCACGAGAGCTTGAGAAAAGACTTCAGGAAGATGCAGTCAAGGATTCTAGGACCGTCAAGTTGTTGCTGTTGGGTAAATATAGATATTTACATTTTTGATCTTCAAATTGATTTGCCCCCAGCTAGTCAGAGCTGCTTATTTTAAAATCTAACGGGGCAGAAGAAGGAAAGTTTTATTTAAAAGTAATGTGCAGATATGTTGCAAATCATAAATCTCATATCAGTTTTTTCTGGGGGAAAAAAAACCTGATTGTGGATTGCCATTTTGCTTTTAAATTGAGAACTGCAATCCAAGATGCTATGAAGATCCAAACTGCAGATGGAAGTCTGAACAAGGAGAGTGTTCCTCCAATAGTGATTGCTGGGTTATAGGCACTGAAATCTCAGAATCTATTTGCTGAAGCAGAAATGTATGCAAAAATGAATTTGAAAAGTTACATTTGAAATCTGCGTGAGAACCAGGGCCATTGAACTAAGAAATTTGCTGATTTGGTTTATTTTGCTTGTTTTCTTTTTAATTCAGGTTTGGGAATGGTCAATTTGCAACTTGTCTTGTGGCCTAACAGGTGAATTACTTGATAAGGAAGATTTCCTTTTGGGAGGAAATAAATTAAAAAATAAATAGTGAACTATGTTAGTGTGTGAAATGGGTGTCTTTCTGTGTGGGTCGTCTGTATATCTTTTAAACATATGACTAAAACATACGAAGAACAGTTGCTGGAATTGGGTATGTCTAGTTTAACGAAGAGAAGGACGAGGGGGGACATGATAGCTATGTTCCAATATCTCAGGAGTTGCCCCAAAGTAGAGGGAGTCAAGCTATTTTCCAAAGTGCCTGAAGGCAGAACAAGAAACGATGGATGGAAACTAATCAAGAAGAGAAGCAACCTAGAACTAAGGAGAAACTTTCTGACCATTAGAACAATTAACCAGTGGAACAACCTGCCTCCAGAAGCGGTGAATGCTCCAACACTGGAAATTTTTAAGAAGAGACTGGACAACCATTTGTCCGAAATGGTATAGGGTTTCCTGCCTGAGCAGGGGGTTGGACTAGAACAGGGGTGTCAAACTCACAACGTCACATGACGTATCACGACGTATCGCGACTTTTTCCCCATTGCCGGCAATGGGGTGGGCGCGTTTTTGGTGTGACGCATCCGGCCCGCGGCCGGCAATTTGACATCCCTGAACTAGAAGACTTGCAAGGTCACTTCCAACTCTGTTATTCTGCTAATGATTTATCTGGTGAATAGTAGAAAGATGAGAACTTTCTGAATATTTTCACAATATTGATGAGACTGTTTCTACTTAGTAAATCAAACTTGTGTTAAGTAGGGCCTTTGTTTGCTTATCAAAAATACAACCGTAGTGGAAAGAATTTAGCCCGTGAGATGTGCCTTCTCTGATGGAGTCGCATGACAACGTTTGTCAAAATTTCCTTGCTGACAAGACTGGAATTATTCAACCGAATGCCCTTCACATTCTAAAAATGCCAGCAGGTTATGCAAGATGTCAAATAGAGGCAGGAGAACAGGGGACAGGTGCAGTTGTGTTTTAAAGCTGTAAGAACTTTTGGAAACAGATGATTTCACATTTAAGAGTGATAGAATTGCAAGGGGGAGCTTGGAAGATATATAATCGGAATCCTTTCGAGAGCAAAGACACAGCTTCTGTTCGAAGATCTCCAGTGACTGAAAGATTGCAGTTGCTTTAAATCAGTGGTTCTCAATCTGTGGGTCGGGACCCCATTTGGGGTCGAACGACCATTTCACGGGGGTCGCCAAACAATGCAGTCCGCCATTTTTTTCCCCCCTTTTCCTTAGCTGTGCTATTCCCTTTTATTCTATTGGCTTTTGAAAGCCAATAGAATAGACTCTCTTGAATAGAGTCTAATTCTGTTGGCTTTCAAAAGCCAATAGGAATTGTCCAGGCTGTCTCTGCCCTGTTGAGCCCGCCAAAAGTCCCGTTCTGCAAACGGTGCTGCACCAGTTGAGTAGTCCTCGACTTACGACCGGTTGGGGGGTCGCAGCATTAAAAAGGTTGAGAACCACTGCTTTAAATGATTGTTTGATCATCCCCATGCATTTAGCCACTAGAGTCTCCAAACCTTTTAGCCAAACATATCCTCTCTGGTGGCTTAAATTAAACCTAGTCTGATCTTTTGGAATTGCAGAAAGTAAATTCTTCCAGAAGGGATAGCAAGATTGGAAAATTTTCGTCCAAAAACAGCATTTGCACACTCACTGCACAAGCTCTGCCTTTTCTGAACATGTGGGAGATGTCGCAGCAGATACGCAAAAGGGGCAGAGCTGTTGCTGTGACAGCATAATGACAGAACATTTGCCATGTGCTATGCCCCCTCCCTCTTTGAACCCTAGTTTCATCCTGATCTGCATCTTCCATCAGTTTCTAGTTTTCCACATTAGAAGGTCTTGTTTCCAAAACTGACTTAATCTATTATATCTCTTCCCTTTTTCTAATTCCAGAATCGCATTTGTCCTGGGTGCTTACAAACCACTGTTTGCTTGTTCAGTTCCAACAGCAAGCCATCAATGCATCCATGCTTTGGCTGGGTCATTGTGGAGTATGACAGGGTTTCTAGGCTGAGAATGACTAGCCAGAAGTTATCCAGATGTCTCCCTGTAGAAAGATCCTTCTTGGTCTTGTTATTGTTAGTTGTGAAGTCGTGTCCGACCTATCGCGACCCCATGGACAACGTTCCTCCAAGCCTTCCTACCCTCTACCATCTTCTGGAGTCCATTTAAGTTCACGCCTACTGCTTCAGTGACTCCATCCAGCCACCTCATTCTCTGTCATCCCCTTCTTCTCTTGCCCTCAATCTTTCCCAGCAATCTTGGCCTTGGGAGATTTTAATTCTTCTTTATTTTTTCGGGAAGGTGAACAACAGAACTCATGGCACATTAACAGGCTAAAGTGAAAAAAATTATTAGTTGTGCTCTTCCTAGCCTTGGCTTTCAGATACATTTGGGTCAGCCCAGTCTCCGAAGAGCCTGAAGGAAGGACAAGAAGCAACAGGTGGAAATTAACCAAGGAGAGAAGCAACCTAGAACTAAGGAGAAATTTCCTGACAGTTAGAACAATCAACCAGTGGAACAACCTGCCTCCAGAAGCGGTGAATGCTCCAACACTGGAAGTTTTCAAGAAGAAATTGGACAACCATTTGCCTGAAATGGTATAGGGTTTCCTGCTTGAGCAGGGGGTTGGACTAGATGACCTCCAAGGTCCCTTCCAACTCTGTTATTCTGATCTATTCTATTCTATTATCTGTACTGTAATCCTCTAGCTCTCTATGTATTTTGCATGTACATGATTTTTTTTTGGGGGGGGGCAGGTGTTTCTGCTCTATAGTACAAACAAAATTACTGGGGATCAGTTCTGTCCCCCTTCCAAAATGCATTTAAACAGGGGCTGGTTTCCTGTTTGCCAAGTTGCAGGTGCAAAAGCAGAATGTTGACAAAATTGTCATCCTATCTATGAAATTAGCCATTGCAAAATAATTATGATAAATTGCATATTCACCGAGTTGGAAATTGATGCTTTCTTGCCCATGCATTGTTTGTTTTACCCCAAGGGCTGCTTTCCATATGACTGATGCTTTCTTGTTATCCATTTTGCCAAATTAGGGGCAAATTACTTACATGTAAATCCAAATGCTAAAAAACAGGCAGATGTTTGGGCAGACAAATAAATGAATATTTAACAGCAACCAGAGCACGCTGTTTTGACTAGAGATACACCTAAGGGAAGACAGAAATTCAAATTAAGATTTGAAGTGGCTTTTCAAACCCTGGCTAAGAGGAAATCTGTTGAGCCAATAAAGCTATAGCAAAATTTAAGACAATTTAGTTCAAGTCCATATGTCATATTTACATTTGTTTTCTTTCTTGCAGGAGCTGGTGAATCAGGCAAGAGCACTATTGGGAAACAAATGAAGTAAGTCTATCAACATTTAGGTCCCTTTGGGTACAACTCTGTTGGGTTCCGAGAAGAGAAGAGAAGAGAAGAGAAGAGAAGAGAAGAGAAGAGAAGAGGGATGAATAGAATAGAATAGAATAGAATAGAATAGAATAGAATAGAATAGAATAGAATAGAATAGAATAGAATAGAATAGAATAGAATAGAATGCAATACAATACAATACAATACAATACAATAGATATTGGAATACAGAAGAGAAGAGAAGAGAAGAGAAGAGAAGAGAAGAGAAGAGAAGAGAAGGGAAGGGAAGGGAAGGGAAGGGAAGGGAAGGGAAGGGAAGGGAAGGGAAGGGAAGGGAAGGGAAGGGAATGGAATGGAGTGGAGTGGAATGGAATATGGAATGGAATAGAATATGGAATGGAATAGAATATGGAATGGAATAGAATATGGAATGGAATATGGAATGGAATAGAATATGGAATGGAATAGAATATGGAATGGAATAGAATAGAATAGAATAGAATAGAATAGAATAGAATAGAATAGAATAGAATGGAATGGAATGGAATGGAATGGAATGGAATGGAATGGAGTGGAGTGGAGTGGAGTGGAGTGGAGTGGAGTGGAGTGGAATGGAATGGAATATGGAATGGAATGGAATGGAACGGAACGGAACAGAAAGGAGTGGAGTGGATTTCAGAAATGCTACATGATTGTTGTAGGTATAATAACACAGTTCTGACAGCCAATCCGAGTATCTTTCTGTCTCTTCTTAAATTTAATAATTCAAGGTGGGTTAATTTGAATTTCTTTCTCCTGCTTCCTCCAGTTCCTGGACTGCGCAATCACTTCTCCTAGTTTCTTCTTAACATCTCTTTCATGCCATTCTGAAGGTCAGCGATAAATTCCTTTACACAGATTTGACAACCCTCTCTCTGCACCTACGGCCTGCTAAAATGTACACAATTTGCATCAGATCCATCCTGCTGCTGAAGAACGTGAGCACATACAATTAACCATGTGTGGTCTCTCAAGATTAGACAGCGTGTTATGATCTTACGAAACCCAGGATATCTGTTTATCCGTTATGGAAATCAAAGAGGATCCTTACACCAACTCTTCTAGGATCGCTACCTCAGACTGCTTAGAAGACTGTTTGTTCAAAGTGTCTATGGAGGTTCTCAGTCATCCAGATCGTGATTATCCCAAAAGGCAACTGGACTTTCTTGTTTTTCTCTGAAGACGTTTCGCTTCTCATCCAAGAAGCTTCTTCAGCTCTGACTGGATGGTGGGGAGTGGAAGGATTTATACTCCTTGCAGACAGCTGGTCATTTGTATTCTTTTAGACACAGGGACACAGGGCAGAAAACATCCTGCAGTCAAGAAGGATTTACACTCATTTGCACTATTCAGGTGACCCTGAGGACACAGGGTAACCTCCAACATTGCTCTAAAAGAAGGCAAATAACCGGCTGTGTGCAAGGGATATAAATCTTTCCATTCCCCACCATCCAGCCAGCGCTGAAGAAGCTTCTCGGAGGAGAAGCAAAACGTCTTCAAAGAAAAAAAAACGCACCTTGGGACAGTTTGTTCAAAACCAATTACACATCCATGATTGGATGTTTGATTGCAAACTAGCTAGTTTCCACTACTTTTAGACCCCACAGGTGTTCTTGTTTTTAATTCTCGTTCTTCTAAGAGTTGCCATCTTTTTTATTTATTTATTTTTTTTGGCAGGATCATCCATAAACATGGCTACACAGATCGGGAATGTCAGGAGTATAAATCGGTGGTTTACAGCAACACACTGCAGTCCATTCTGTCGATCGTAAAAGCGATGCCCACACTAGGAATCGAATATGAGAATGCACAAAGCCAAGTGAGTGGGAGACCTGTCACAAAAAGCAATGTGCAAAAACGCAGTGCCTGATTATATGCATTATAATAGTGTAATATGTGCTGCAGTTGGTTTTATGCGTTCTCTATGTGTAGATGTGATCTTTCTGAATAGTCACTTGTCTAAAAGACCGAAATAGTAGTCCGAAGAGCTAATCAAGGCTCCCAGCGTATCTCCTATCTTTACACCATCAGTTAGCACAGGTGGTGTTGAAATGGACAACTTGTTACACTATGGCCAACTTGCAATGGTCAACTCTACTACAACCAATTCACCATGGCCAATGTGTCATGGCCAATTTGCCCCAGGACAACTTGCTGAGGGACAATGCAACAATTCAATTCAATTATTTAAAATCATTTTGAAAATATTTAATTTTCTGCCATTCACATTTCATTTCATTCCCCCCTCTCTCTCTTAAGTTGGTATCCTTTCTTTAATGACTCTATTCCACTATTCCTTCGATATGAGTGTAACTCTTTTTTTTTTTTTTGCTTATCTAAATAATTTATTTAATCATCACTGAATAACAACATAATATTTTAAAAGTGTTGAGTGGCGCTTTGGTGCGTTTGGTCTCTGTCTCTAATCTGATGCTGTCTAAATATGTTAGATTTCCTGAGATAGATAGATAGATAGATAGATAGATAGATAGATAGATAGATAGATAGATAGATAGATATAGAGCAGTGGTTCTCAACCTTTCTAATGCCGTGACCCCATAATACAGTTCCCCATGTTGTGGTGACCCCAAGTGGGTGTGGCCACCAATAAGAGGGAGTAGGACAGCTAGGGAAAAGGGAAAAAAATGGCGGACAGCATGGTTTGGCGACCCCCATGAAATGGTCGTTCGACCCCAAATGGGGTCCCGACCCACAGGTTGAGAACCACTGATATTGAGAGACAGAGATAGAGATAGATAGATGATAGATACATAGATAGATAGATAGATAGATAGATAGATAGATAGATAGATAGATAGATAGATAGATAGACAGACAGACAGACAGACAGACAGACAGACAGACAGACAGACATATATATAGATATAGATATAGATATAGATATAGATATAGATATAGATATAGATATAGATATAGATAGTGCTTTTTTCTAAAATAAAAGGTGCCGGAACTCACACACATCATACAGCCCGCCTTGCCTACCCTACAAGTTTCCATCCAAAAAAGGTGCTGGAACTCCGTTCTGGGTGTTCTATGAGAAAAAAAGCCCTGGATATAGAGATAGAGATAGAGGTAGAGGTAGAGGTAGAGGTAGAGGTAGAGATAGAGATAATAGAGATAGAGATAGAGATAGAGAGATAGAACCATGACAATTGTGTTAGAAGTAGTATATGTTTTGTTTTGTTTTTAATTTTTGCTATTCATTTGTTTATTGACTGAAATATTTTTATACCCCTCCAGTCTTCATGGTCAAAAGTGGTTTAAACCTCATCTGAAATTCTAACTGATGGCTCCCATTTAGGAACACAATAAAGAAGAGAGTCATGTTCAGTTATTTAATTTCAGGAAGATGGAAAGCAGCTTTATGCCATGGCAGATATCCTAGAGGATGGATCCATGTCTTCTGAACTGGCTGGTCTCATCAAGCGCCTGTGGAAGGATCCAGGGATCCAGGCTTGTTTTGAAAGAGCATCAGAGTATCAACTCAATGACTCGGCTGCTTAGTGAGTGGCATTCTTTCAATTGAACTCTAGTCAATTCCCGGCTGATCCATAGATTCCTCGGGTGAAAACTGCATCCAGTAGAGATGCAAAGGGCTTCACAAACTATGTGCATTTGAATGTCTATCCATGATGTTTCCATATTTTTCCATATAGTGGTTTTGTTTTTTTGTTTTTTTGCTATCTGAAACTACAATTCCAAGCAGATTTGCTTTCCTTCTAAATGTATCTTCTAGAAAGATTAGCAGAATCTATTATTCCTTTCAAGCAGGACAAACCTGATTTTATTTTGCAAAATATTGATAAAAGCTTTCTCTCTCTCTTTCTCTCTCTTATTCTTTCTCTCTTTCTTTCTCTCTGTCTCTCTTTCTCTCTGTTTTTCTCTCTTTCTCTCACTTTCTCTTTCTTTCTCTGTCTCTCTTATTCTCTTTCTCTGTTTCTCTCTCTTTCTCTGTCTCTGTTTTTCTCTCTCTTTCTCTCTTTCTTTCTCTCACTTTCTTTATCTCTCTCTCTCTTTCTCTTTCTCTGTGTTTTCTCTCTTTCTTTCTCTCTGTCTCTCTTTCTCTCCCTGTTTTTTCTCTCTTTCTTTCTCTTACTTTCTTTATATCTCTCTCTGTTTCTCTTTCTCTGTCTGTTTTCTCTCTTTCTCTCTGTTTTTTATTCTCTCTCTCTGTTTCTCTTTCTCTGTGTTTTTTCTCTCTTTCTTTCTCTCTGTCTGTCTCTCTTTCTAATTCTCTCTCTCTCTCTTTCTCTCTCTGTCTCTTTCTCTCTCTCTCTCTCTCTCTCTCTCTCTCTCTCTCTCTCCCTCCCTCCCTCCCTCCCTCTCATTAATGCAGTTACCTCAATGATTTGGAAAGATTGACAGCTCCTGACTATGTCCCTAATGAGCAAGATGTCCTTCGCTCACGAGTGAAAACAACAGGAATTATTGAGACACAGTTTTCTTTCAAGGACTTGCACTTTCGGTAACCAAGCAATCCTTCCATTCTAGTTCCCTTTCCAACGAATATACACAGTATGTAGATTCACAGAAAAGGAGGGCTGTCAGGAGAGTTGAGGTCAAACAATGTAGGATGGCAGCGACAATCATCAATGCAGAGCAGAGTCAGTGTGACGTGGTGAAAAAGATGTGGACTGGCATCTGAGGAGGCCCAGGTTGATTCTTTGCCCTACAAAACCCTGGATGACTTTGAGCTTGACCTCTCAATTTTTTTGGGGGGGGTCGTCGAGATAAAAATGGAAGGTGTGAATAGCAATGGCCCTTAGACCTGTATACCACTTTATAGCGCTTCACAGCCCTCTCTAAGCAGTCTACAGAGTCAACCTGTTGCCCCCCCCAACCATCTGGGTCCTCATTTTACTGACCTCAGAAGGACAGAAGGCTGAGTCAACCTTGAGCCGGTCAGGATCGAACTCCAGGCGGTGGGCAGAGTTTGCCTGCAATACTGCGTTCTCACCACTGCGCCACCCCGACTCTAATGAGGGAGCCGAGGTGGCGCAGCAGTTAGAGTGCAGTACTGCAGGCCACTTTAGCTGACTGTGTTCAGCAGGTCAGCGGTTCAAATCTCACCGGCTCAAGGTTGACTCAGCCTTCCATCCTTCCGGGGTAGGTAAATGAGGACCCAGATTGTTGGGGGCAATGTATATATTGCTTACTGGTGTACACCGCTTAGAGAGTGCTTGCACTTAAAGCGGTATATAAGTCTCATAAATAAATAAATAAGTAAAATAAGGAGCGCTTTGAGCGGCTTCTTGAGCTCCTGAAGGAAAGGCAGAATAGAAATCTCTTGAATAATTCATGAATATCCCAGCTAATCTTCGACAGGTGTTTATCTTCCCTAATCACGTTCGGTATCCTTTGACCCCGTCCCTTTGGATTAATGCCCTGGATTAACGCGGTGATACGCAAGGTGAGTTAACCACTACGTCGCTAACTATAACGCCCTTTTGCGGTTACAAAGTCGTGGAGGGGAATGAAGCGTGTATTGATTGCAGGTACCAGACCTATTTCTGTAAAATCCGTTGTTTAAAGATCTGTGGCGCCAGAGTATTTTTGACTTCTTTGAGAAAACCGTATCCTCCATTCTTTATTGGACACATTCCGTTTCATGTGATTTTTTTTGTTTAGGTTCTTCAAAAATGAACTCGGTTGATTTGTTCAGATTTGATTAAGTTTGATATAATACACAAGTAGAGAAATGCTTATCGCATAATGTTATTGTACCAGCTTCAGTTCTTCCTTCCTTCCCTCCCTTCTCTCGCTCCCTATCTTCCCTCCCTCACCTTCTTTTTTCCTTCCTTCTTTCCTCTCTTTCTTCTGTCCTTCCTTTCTTCCCTCTCTCTCTTCCCTCCTTTCTTTCTTTCTTCATTCCCCCTTCTCCCTCCCTCCCTTTCCTGTCCTTCCTGTCCTTCCTTCCTTCCTTCCTTCCTTCCTTCCTTCCTTCCTTCCTTCCCTCCCTCCCTTTCCTGTCCTTCCTGTCCTTCCTTCCTTCCTTCCTTCCTTCCTTCCTTCCTTCCTTCCTTCCCTCCCTCCCTTTCCTGTCCTTCCTTCCTCCCTCTTTCTTTCTTTCTTTCTTTCTTTCTTTTCTTCCTTCCCTCCCTCCCTCCCTTTCCTGTCCTTTCTCCCTCCCTCCCTCCCTCTTTCTTTCTTTCTTTCTTTCTTTCTTTCTTCATTCCCCCTTCTCCCTCCCTTCCTTTCCTGTCCTTCCTTCCTTCCTTCCCTCCCTCCCTCCCTTTCCTTTTTGTTTCTTCCTTCCTTTCTTCCTTCCCTCCCTCCCTTTCCTTTTTGTTTCTTCCTTCCTTTCTTCCTTCCTTCCCTCCCTCCCTCCCTCGCTCCCTCCCTCTTTCTTTCTTTCTTTCTTTCTTTCTTTCTTCATTTCCTCTTCTCCCTCCCTTCTTTTCCTGTCCCTCCTTCCTTCCTTCCCTCCCTCCCTCCCTTTCCTTTTTGTTTCTTTCCTTCCTTTCTTCCTTCCTTCCTTCCCTCCCTCCCTTTCCTGTCCTTCCTTCCTTCCTCCTTCCCTCCCTCCCTCCCTCCCTCTTTCTTTCTTTCTTTCTTTCTTTCTTTCTTTCTTTCTTTCTTTCTTTCTTTCTTCATTTCCCCTTCTCCCTCCCTTCCTTTCCTGTCCCTCCTTCCTGTCCCTCCTTTCTGTCCCTCCTTCCTTCCTTCCTTCCTTCCTTCCTTCCTTCCTTCCTTCCTTCCTTCCTTCCTTCCTTTCTTTCTTTCTTTCTTTCTTTCTTCCTCCTCCATCCCTCCCTCTGAAATGTGTTAACAGCACACACCAGGAACACAGTGACCATCTTATTAACTGCAGTTTCATTCCATAGGATGTTTGATGTGGGCGGACAGAGATCAGAGAGGAAGAAGTGGATCCACTGCTTTGAAGGAGTGACCTGCATTATCTTCTGCGTGGCCCTCAGTTCCTATGACATGGTCCTGGTGGAAGATGAGGACGTGGTAAGCGGAAGGAGAAAGAGAGCGGGATTTGCTACCTGGGTGGAAAGGATACGCTGGACTTCCTCAAAACCTTTACCAACATTTTTTTTTCCGCTTCACTGGACGAAGCTAATTGGCCGAACTGTTTTTTTTTTCACAGGAGATGTCAGGAATAACAGGACAATCTAATTGCCTCCTTGTTTTTCCCTCTGGCAGAATCGAATGCATGAAAGCCTCCACCTCTTCAACAGCATCTGTAACCACGAATGCTTTGCCAGCACTTCGATTGTGCTGTTTCTCAATAAGAAAGACCTCTTCCAAGAAAAAATCACAAAAGTACAACTCCGTGTCTGCTTTCCAGAATATGATGGTAAATTTATCTGGCTTCTTTGGGCAACATTCTGTGGAGATCATGGATGATGGTGATGATGATGATGATGATGATGATGATGATGATGATGATGATTGGGCCTCCTTCAGGTCCCGTCGGCCAGACAATGTCAGCTGGCGGGCCCTCAGGGAAGGGCCTTTTCTGTGGTGGCTCCAACATGGTGGAATCAACTTCCCCCCGAGATTCGAACTACTCCCACCTTGCTGGCCTTCAAGAAAGCCATTAAAACTCTCCTGTTCTGGCAGGCCTGGTGTTGATGTCCCCGGGGAGGCCGGGACACGATTGGGACATGTTGTATGAATGCACTCATTTTTATTGTTATATTTATTGTTTTAATTTTGTACGCCGCCCTGAGTCCCTAGGGATTGGGTGGCATATAAATTTTATTAATAAATAAATAAATAAAATAAATCATCATCATCATACAAACAGACAAGCACTTGCAACATAACACCCCGGACTTAACAATTGTCGATAAGAAAGACAAAAAAGTCTGGATAGTGGATGTGGCAGTGCCTGGAGACAGCAGAATAGACGAGAAAGAACTGGAGAAGATAACAAAATACAAAGACCTACAAATAGAAATAGAAAGACTGTGGCAAAAGCAAGCAAGGGTAGTACCAATAGTCATAGGCTCCTTGGGTGCAATCCCAAAACAACTGGAGCACCACTTGAACACCATTGGCATTGACAAATTCGCTATTAGTCAATTGCAAAAGGCGGCCTTATTAGGAACTGCTTCCATCCTGCGACGATATCTGTAATACCATCAAACATCCACATCTGCCTATCCCAGGTCCTGGGTAAGGACTCGATAGGTAGACAAAATGCCAAATCCAGTCTGAACATCTGGCTGACTATGCGATGATCGATAATAATAATAATAATAATAATAATAATAATAATAATAATAATAATAATAATAATAATAATAATAAATGCCAAATCCAGTCTGAACATCTGGCTGACTGTGCGATGATCCATAGTAATAGTAATAATAATAATTTGAAAGAGTTGGAAGGGACCTTGGAGGTCTTCTAGTCCAACCCCCTGCTCAGGCAGGAAACCCTATTATATTCTATATTCCATCAGGTCTGGAGATGGACCTTCTTCTGGTGATGTCTTCCCCATTGGTCTTGGGTGGCACAATAGCCCCTAGAAAGACTAATAGAGAAGAAGAACTAAAGACATCAGGATTCTGAGAACTGCATTTTGGTTCACCTAGACAACTGCATGCCTGGGGTTTTTTACTGTAAGGGGTTCTAGGGAGGAATGCTACTTTAGATGCCACCAAAGAAAAATGGGGAAAGGATCTGTAACTCACAATGTGTCATGTGAGAAGGAAGAGAGAGATGCAAAAGATAGATCACAATCTGAAAATGACAAGAGAGTCTGACCCCTTATCATAATAAAAAGGTGATAAAAGTGCCCAGAAATATATATGCAGTCCTTGAGTTGCCACTATAATGCAGCCTACCTATCATGCTTGGCCATGGGAGTGTCCCCGTTTGATGACCTTTTACATGGCTTTACGTGAAACTTGCTTTCAAGGTAGCTAGCAAGCTGTAAAAAATTAATTAAAAAGCACCTTTGGGACAGCCATGATCTGGATAAACTGAGAATCTCCATAGACATTTCTTCATTGGTGTTGAAAGAAAAACATTGTGTGCGGATAAGAAAAGAACAAGACGTTCTAGGCCACAACGTATTTTATGAAGTTGTCTTTGTGTTTCTCTCTAAGCAGGACCCAACACTTTTGAAGAGGCTGGAAATTATATTAAGAAGCAATTTTTAGACCTGAATATCAGAAAAGAAGACAAGGAGATCTATGCCCACATGACTTGTGCAACAGACACGCAGAACGTTAAGTTCGTGTTTGATGCTGTAACAGATATAATCATCAAAGAGAACCTCAAAGACTGTGGACTGTTTTAATTCTTCACCTGATACTGCCTACAACATTTTCCTTTTCTTTTGCAAAAATCTCTTGAACTTTTCTGGGAAACAGGTTGCCATTCTGTGTAAGTTTTTTTTTTTTTTTTTTTTAGCAAATAAGCCTCAGTAGTGCCTACTTCAGTGTTAATGTGTGTAGATTGAAGATGGATGTAAATAAAGGGGAAATAATACCTCTATTGTATCTCAGCTGCAAAATTCTAGATAACCAGTAGAGGACAGCAAAGAGATACAGAAAGCTAATGTTGCCACCTACTGGTCATTCATATATTTGTACCAAGTTAGACATTTAAGAAATAGCAAAAGTGATCAACTTTAGTCAGTCTCTTTCGTATCTCCCCAGAGTCTGATACTGTCAAATGTGATACAGAATCTCTAATGAATGCACGATTTGTTATGGTTCTGGCTAATGAAACACTTCAAAGAACTTCCAGGCATTTATTTTCATAAAAGTCAGTGATTGTTACAAAATGTCGGCACAGGCATAACGGAGGATGCTAAGATCTAACTTCTCTTCCTCTGAGCAGTTAAATTATCAGCATGTTCCCTCCCTAAATTAGCCGTCATATATCACATTATCCAATTAGTGTGAAGGTCAAAGGTTTCCTTCCTCTTTCTTTCCTGGGCTTTACCCTCACCCTCTTCTGCTCTGTATTAACCCCATAAATACCAGACAGTTCTGCAGATTGTCAAAAGCAAGAATATACAATACTTGCAGCGTTGACACAATTATTCTTTTCTTTCTGTTCTTTGGGTCATTAAATCTTGAATATATCTGCCGTTTTAATTTTGCTGAGAATGTGTTTGCTTTGATCCTACTGAAATCGCTTTCCCTATCCAGATCAATAGATTTCTACCAAGAAAAAGCTACATGGATCATCCTTTTTAAACATTCCCTGGATTTAAAAGTTAGTTGGAGCATGCTGACCTAATTCTGTTTTGCACTGCTCCTAAAACCAAACCCCATCTTTGTTATTCTTTTTGTTGGACGTAATAATTTCTACTAATAGTACAAGAACATATATGACAGCATCAGTGGGATTAACAAAGATGATTAATGGAATTTTCAGAAAATTCTGTCATCCCTTTCTTCTATTGCCCTCCATCTTTCCCAGCATCAGGCTCTTCTCCAGTGAGTCTTCCTTCTCATTAGGTGGCCAAAGTACTTGAGTTTCAACTTCAGGATCTGGCCTTCTAAAGAGCAGTCGGGGTTGATCTCCTCCAGGACTGACCAGTTTGATAGAAGAAGGGGACAACAGAGAATGAGGTGGCTGGATGGAGTCACTGAAGCAGTAGGCATGAACTTAAATGGATTCCAGAAGATGGTAGAGGACAGGAAGGCCTGGAGGAATGTTGTCCATGGGGTCGCGATGGGTCGGACATGACTTTGCAACTAACAAAAACAACAAGAAAATTCCTGTTAATTACAACATCATCCTGTTGTTTCCATCCAGAAACACCTGCTTCTGGCAACTCCTTCATTTAGCAATTTACACTGTAATTTCTGAATTTCCTGATTAAAAATTCAAATTAGAAAAACCAAATAGCCAAAGATGGATAACGATTTTCTTTCAAAATGTCCTTCTTAAGAAGTGGCAACTACTGTTATGCATACATTTAGGCAAGAAAAACCAAATGCACAAGTATAGTATAGGGGTTACCTTGCTCAATAGTAGTAACTGTGAGAGGGACCTCGGAGTCCTAGTGGACAATCACCTAAATATGAGCCAGCCATGTGCTGCAGCTGCCAAAAAAGCCAACACAGTGCTGGGCTGCATTTAATAGAGGGATAGAATCAAGATCACATGAAGTATTAATACCACTTTACAATGCCTTGGTAAGGTCACACTTGGAATACTGCATCCAGTTTTGGTCACCATGATGTAAAAAAGATGCTGAGACTCTAGAAAGAGTACAGAGAAGAGCAACAAAGATGATCAGGGGACTGGAGGCTAAAACATACAAGGAACGACTGCTGGAATTGGGTATGTCTAGTTTAATGAAGAGAAAGACGAGGGGGGACATGATAGCCATCTTCAAAAATCTCAGGGGCTGCCCCAAAGAAGAGGGAGTCAAGCTATTCTCCAAGGCGCCTGAAGGCAGAACAAGAAGCAATGGATGGAAACTAATCAAGGAGAGATTCAACCTAGAACTAAGGAGAAACTTCCTGACAATTAGGACAATTAACCAGTGGAACAATCTCCCTGCAGAAGCTGTGAATGCTCCAACACTGGAAGTTTTTAAGAAGAGACTGGACAGCCATTTGTCTGAAATGGTATAGGGTTTCCTGCCTGAGCAGGGGGTTGGACTAGATGACCTCCAAGGTACCTTCCAACTTCTTCTTCTTCTGATGATGATGATGATGATGATGAATGGAATCGGAAAACAATAAGAAGAGTTATGAATGGAATCGGGAAAACCTTGCAAGATTCTCCTGAATGAAGTCAAAAAAAACTTTGTCCGGAAGCACTGCTACACTCAAGCAAGTATAGTTAGATATGTAGCACTATTCAAAGCCAAACAGTTGCCTTGATGAATATACATGATCCTGCCACATGAGGGCAAACTGGCATCATTTGCTTTTGACATAGGTTTACGAATTATTTGGGTGGCATCGCCGACTATTAGAAACAGGGCCACAATAATTGCCCACTCAGGGAGGGGGTGAAAAATCCCTCCGTTTTGTCATTCTAGGAAAATGATTTATTCTGTACTACTTATTCCAAAACACAGTGGAAACACTCGAGTCCAATTGCCGATTTAGGGATTGGGGGGGGGGAATCCCCAGGTTTTGTCATTCTAGGAAAATGGTTTATTCTGCATTAAAAACTGGGGGGGGGGAAGGGAAGGAAAGACAAATTGCTGCAGCTTGTGAAAAATGGTCAAGTTGGATTTTACCTGGCTTTCTCAGGGCCTCAGTCCTCCAGCTAATGAAGGAAGCCAGGTTGTCTGGTTACATGAGCTGAAGCACCCAATCAGGCTGTGAACATAAAACCAATTATGCTTGGTAGAATAAACTTGCTGTGACACACACATACTATCTTAAGCTTTCATTGTGTGTGGTTTTGCAAGGCAGATCTGATGATGATGATAATGATGACGATGATGATAACAATAACAACAATAACAATAACAACAATAATGATGATGTTGGAAAGGACCTTGGAGGTCATCTAGTCCAACCCCCTGCTCAGGCAGGAAACCCTATACCATTTCAGACAAATGGCTGTCCAGTCTCTTCTTAAAAACTTCCAGTGTTGGAGCATTCACTGCTTCTGAAGGCAGGTTGTTCCACTGGTTATTGTTCCCACTATCAGGAAGTTTCTCCTTAGTTCTAGGTTGCTTCTTTCTTTGGTTAGTTTCCATTTGCTGCTTCTTGTTCTGCCTTCAGGCATTTTGGAGAATAGCTTGACTTCCTCTTCTTTATGGCAGCCCCTGAGATACTGGAACACTGCTATCATATCCCCCCTCATCCTTCTCATTAAACTAGACATACCCAATTCCAGCAACAGTTCCTTATATGTTTGAGCCTCCAGTCCCCTGATCATCTTTGTTGCTCTTCTCTGTACTCTTTCTAGAGTCTCAGCATCTTTTTTACATCGTGGTGACCAAAACTGGATGCAGTATTCCAAGTGTGGCCTTACCAAGGCATTGTAAAGTGGTATTAACACTTCATGTGATCTTGATTCTATCCCCGTGTTAATGCAGCCCAGCACTGTGTCGGCCTTTTTGGCAGCTGCAGCACATTGCTGGCTCCTATTTAAGTGATTGTCCACTAGGACTCCGAGGTCCCTCTCATAAGGTCCCTCTTATATTAGTTTATAATATAAAAATACAAAAGCAAATAATGGGAAATGTAGGGGAGGAAAAAGGGAAAACAAAAGTGTAGAGAAGAAAGGAAAAAAGAAAGAAAAAGCATTGACTTCTGGTTCTCTTTGATGCAAGGGAATAAGAAATAGCATCGAACCTCAACTTTTTACTTTTACAAAATAGTATAAACTAGCCATTTCTGTAACAACAGATCTATTTCATCAATAAAACCCTGTTGAAAGAAAAATCTTCATTAGGGTCCAGTCCAAGCTGGGAATAAACAAAATGGAGGCTGCTTTAGAAAGAAGGTTGTAGTTTATTGAAGAGAAGAGCAAGACAGAAAGATGACTCTGGAAGAAAAGAGTGAGCACATGTAGGGAGTGGGTTTTTATACCCTCTGGAGCCTTTGGTTTGGAGTTATTCTTGTGGCATGAACTTTGAGCTGAGGTTTTGAATGTGCCCTTCTAGTATTCTGATGGCGGTGGGTTAACCCTGTTATATCCTAAGGGTCATATCCTGCTTCCTTGTGGCTGTGGCTGAGGGCTATATCCTGTGTTGGATTTTTCAGGTGACGGGCTGTTGGTTCTAGGGATCTTTGTCTTTCTAATCCCATCAGCTTCTAGCTTCCTGGCTACAACCTGTCTGAAAGGTTTATCCCATCTGTGTTTCTAAAAGTGGACGTGCTTGGTTTCTGCTTGAGGGAAGGAAACTCAGGGCTGTCTTTGCCTAAATATAATATTCTGTCCTTTTTAATATCCCCCCCCCAAAATATTTCCTTGTCTAGGAGGGTGGGTGGGTGTGGACTGCCAACAACCCAAAAGCAAAGTTTCATTTTTTTTCCACCTCAAGCACAAAGTCCAGAAGTGGATTCCAAGTAGAAAAAATGTAATTGTGGTTTGTTTCCCCCCCCCCTTTTTTTTATCAAAGCAGTCATTTTGCCATCTCTGCTCACTCTGTCAGCTTTTGCAACCATTCATCCATGGTGGGGATGGAAGCATCCTCCCATTTTTGTGCATCAAGTATTCTTGGCCAGGGATAGTTACTGATAAAATAAACACACTTACAATGTCAGGGAATTATTTCCATCCCAATAGCACAAGAAATTAAAAGACGCTTGCTCCTGGGGAGGAAAGCTATGGCAAATCTAGACAGCATACTAAAAAGCAGAGACA